TTCGTTTTCGTGCTTTCTGCAGACTTCAAACCATTTTGTTCAAACATCTACAAGTTTTGCGGACTCTTCACCTTACCGTTCTTCACCTTCCTTCCCAACGTGGCAATTGAGTTAACTGAAAACCAATGTCAGAGTGTGTATATTTGTTGTTATATAATATAAATCAACTTCAGTAATATGAGCTCCAACATGCTCCAACTGACGGGCTGGGACTTGCTCTGCTCCTACACTTGAGCTTGGTTTATGTTTGGAACCTGGGACAAACTGTTAAGCATGCAAATTTGTAGATGATGGTACAGTGGGTGTGTCTTGCAAAATGGAACTTCTGACACCATGACCAGGTGCGCTTGGCTTCTTGCTCCTGTCACTGGGCCCATCTTTCGCCCAAAGGTCCTAACTTTGGGCCCAGCCATCTGTCAATGCGCCGAGCGACACCCATTGAAGCCAAAAATATTCCCAGTGTCACTGCGACCACGCACGCGAGCTGTTCCTGGGAATGCTCGGCACGATGCTGGGTTTTGCAACCCAACCGAGCTGCTTCGGTTTGGGCACCCAAGCCATCATGTTTGCAGCGCAAGCAGTCTACAATTCTTGGCTAAGTCTTCCCAAAACGATAGTGAACGTCTGATGGCAAAAAGGAAGGTTCAGTGCTTCTTTTGAGAGCAGGGCTGCGGCAGGGCCCTGCTAGACCTTCGGATGCTTGTCCCCTCCGTCCGAAAGAAGGTCCACCAACACCTGCGCCTCCGAGTTTCCACAGAGAAGCGTTGGCCAAAGACGAGGAAACCCAGCAGGACAGTCGCAATGATATTGCAGGATCGAATCCTGAGATGCGCGATACGAGGAGGATCAGAAGTTATAACTATAGTTATATCTAAGTTAGCGTTAACTATGTTAACTTAAGTTATATAAGTTAGCCCTAAGTTCATATCTTCCCTAACTTCCACCGGCTTGTTTTTTCAAGGCTTTCTAGTTTTCTCGTTTTTCAAGGTAATCGAGCACTTTTTCCCCCGCGATAAGCCCATTTCATGTCTAAAACAAGCAAGTGACTGTGTCACCGGCCCATGGCCACACAGCTTGTCCATGGCCACACAGCTTCGGCACCAGATTTTGCGACCGTCGCGCTTGCAGTCCGCAGACTCCTGCCCACAGAAGGAGCAAACCATCTTCTCCATGGCCGCTATATACACAGACCGACGCGCGCGCGGGGAAACAAGCTACGAACGAACACACGAAAATCAACGAATCGTGCGAGGCCTCCGGACATTCTCCGGACATCTCCGGCATCTCCGGACATCCTCTCTTATTGTAAATGTAAATGACGTGCGTGTCGCGACCATGGATCTGCGAAAACCTCCGGACATTTTCCGGACATCCACTTTTTCGCCTTCCGCAGCCTCGCGAGACGTCAGGCAAACGCTACGGGCCGCCCGAACCCTGCGACTCACACTCCAAAAGGGTCGCCCCGCAGGCGCGAGAACTATAGTGCTGCTGCAGGACGTGGCACACACATCCGCAACGAGCACAATCGCCCAAAAGGCAGCTTTCGCACTGAACTTGCATGCTCCGTCGGCTCATGGCGCCCCATCCAAATTCGAGCCAGAAAAGCTCAGTAATGTGAGACTTCAGATATGATAGAAACTATATGAAAATATATGAAAAAAAAGCTGAAAAACATATGAAAAAACAAGCCGCGCTAACTTCCCTAACTTCCCTATCTTCTACCGTTCGTTTTCGTAGAAGTTAAAACATAAGTTAGTATCTTCAACTTGACAATCAGTTAACTTCCCTAAGTACCGTTGTAAGTTCCATAAGTTTTCCACAAGTTAGTGAAGTTACAACCCTAAGTTACGAAGTTATAACATATGTTAAACAACTTATAACTATAGTTGTAACTTAGCGATCCTCCTCGTACGGTTGTTTGGTCAATCCTTCTGGGGACACGAAAGGATCACCAATCTCCACGAACTGCAACCCATGGCTACCACCAAGTACAAATAATGAAAGATCTAAAGATCACTCAGAAATATCTCAAGGATCATATTGAAGGGTGGTTACGATTTGCCTCAAAGCCTGCATGTTGCTTGAAAGATGTTGAAAGGTGGGAACCAACCAGTGCCCCGGCGCGCCCGAAAAACATCCGCCAGCTCCATTCCCAGTGTCAGCGTGAAGATCGCCACACTGATCTTGTAAGCAAAGGCGTAGTTCGCCAAGACGGACATCGAGACCTTAGGGGACAGCGGAACGGACGTAGCGTACCGTCCTGGTCACCGTAAGTCCTGGGCCTGGGTCAAGAAGGCACACATCAAACCTGGCAACCTGGACCTCTAGAACCTCCCATTCATCTCCATAGATACATGTTCCTATAGTTGAAACCCAAAGAACTGCACATTCCCGAACATGCTCCCAAGATTTGATGCATGTACTTGAAGGATGAAGATGGATGAAGCATATTATATTCATACTTACATGTGTCTGTCTCCATCTCTCGTTCTGACCCACCAATTGCCCTCCATGTCATCCTTGGATCCTCAGTGCGTTCCACGGTGCCCACAAGGCGGCGAAGGTGCCGTGGCTCCGCCAGGGTGCCGCCAGGGGCTTCAAGCCGTGCCGCGTGAGACGGCCTGCGGTCGGACGCCGGGCAGTCTGGGCGGTCGCCAGCAGCAGCAGCAGGAGTAGCGGTCCCCATAGGTAGTCAATCTCAAAGATTGCGATGAGCCCGACAGCGATGTTGGTAAATGTTAGTAACTATATGCACATGTATATAATATGAGTTTTAAGTTTGGGTCTATTGCCCTTCGTTGGCTTTGGCTTTGGCAGCATCGAGCCTGGAATGCTCTGAAAAAGGACCATGAGAACCTCACGGAGTCGATCCGTTTCCACCGAGGTCCGTCGACCCACGTGGTGCGGAGTACCTTTGTTCTGATGAGGTGGAGATTCTCGGTTTCTGCCAACGGTGAAAGTGATTGATTTGAGGAATCACGGCTAGCTAATTTTTTTTGATGCTTCTTAGATGAATGGACTGGACATGACTAGACACCGCGTAAACTCTCAAAGTCGGCAAGCTGCAACAGTATGCCCAGAGGATCCCAGAGGTATCCCATGCGACTCTCGCAGAATGTCGCATGGATTTGTCGAGCCATTGCCGATCAATAATGAAACTATGATTTGAGAGTCACAAAAAATCGATAGACTTCCTCAGCACCTGCCATTCGTATCCATTGGCACTATACCCAAACACCAAGTTGACTGCCCCTCACAAGCCACTTATGCCTTTCCAAGGCGGCTCACCTTTCACCACTCTGCTCAAAAACTGTTCGACCAGGCAGCTGCTGTCAACGTCAGCAAGTTCCCCGACCTGAGATTCTCTGAAGATTGGCTGATGATGATCTTCACAATATTTTTTCCAGATTGTGTTGGTATGTGTTGGTCTTGGAGGTCTCCAATTGCACCTCCCAGGCACTCTCCAACCCTTGTTGACCATCAATCGACCCTCTCGAGCCATCGGAGTATGTCATTCTCGTCCTTTTCAACGCCACGTGCCAACCTCTCCCAAAAAACCGGCAACGCATTCAGGCTTCATCGCTGTCACCCTCAATTCAACCGCCCCACCGCCCCTTGGCGCAATCCAGGCGGATCTGGCGACAGGAGTCTCTGCCCCGAAGACCGAGTCACTTGGGATCTCCTTTTAGAACCACCTCCATGGCCACGATCGCCCCCATGCAGCCGCCAAAGACCATGAGGATGGGGACCTTGTGAGTAGTTGGTGAGGATGGTTTGACCAAGGTGAAGTGATTCAGATTCAGATTCAGAAGACCAGGACTTGAGAGTCAAGAAGCTTCCTGTAAAGCTAAGAACTTAAAAGTGAACATGTTGCTGTCCAACAGCATGGGAAGAGCATACTGAGGAAACATTCACAGTCCGTGTTATAGATCTCTGATGTTCGATGGCATCTTGTGTGACATAAAGAAGATCGGCAGTACTGTTGTGAAGTGTGGGAGTTTGCTCGTCAACCACCTCACTTGAGCAGCATTTTCACCTCCCAACATGAGCAATAAGCCTTCTCTGAAATGACTAGTTGAAGATCCGCCAGCTCAAACCACAAAGGAACTTGCGACCCTAGAGCAAGAATGGAAAAGGTTTCCCGGCAAAAAAAACGTTTAGTGCTGCATTCCTGCCAATGTATCTGCAAGCGATAAAAGGATGGACAAGGTTTAGAACCCACTAGGTGCCTAGGTCTCGCCCGGCACCCGCTCTTCAACACATCAACCACCTTCGAAAGCCCGGGCTGCTCCACGCCCAGTAGGTGTCGCCCGGGCTGCTCGACGGATCGAAAACACGGCCAGGTGGCCCAGATCGACGTCGACATCGCACCGGATCGCCCCGAAAGAGACGACCGGAGGCGAGGGCCACGGGCCAGGAGTGTTGGGGGTTGGGGACTTGGGGAGTCCCCCAAACAGGATTGGAGTCATATCATATATGCTTAATTGGTTTATTCTTATATGGCCTATATGATTATATGGGCTCCTATCTACACAAACACACCTGAAACATCCTGAAACCTAAAGATTCGTGCAGGAGTGTATGTATAAGTAGTGGTTGAATGTTTTGGATAGTGCCCTCAATCTGCAAATCCATGCAAATCTATCCGTTTGTTGCATCATGTTGCTATATGCACTTGCACTGTGTACGAAGCCTGCAATTCTCAAGTCTGAGATGTCGCAGCCTTTTTTGGACTGGCGCAGCGTCTGAGCCAAAGTTGCAGAAAAGCTCCATAACCACTCCTGCTGTCCCTGAAACAATCCTGGAAGTGGGTGGCATGGCCGGCATGGATTTAGAGGACCATCGTCCTCTACAAACAGGTTCATTTCCATGGTGCATGACTCTGACAAGGGGTGCTTTTCTCTCACTTCAGCACCGGACCTGCTAAGCCAAAAGAACAGAATCTGCCGTATCTCTGGGTGTCTCCGAACGGAAAAGCCACTCCTCGTGTCGCCCTCCGCCTTGGCGATGAGCTCCGACCGGATCATCGAGCCCCAGTAGGTGTCGCCCTCCACCGCCTGACGTGCAGGCGGTGGGTCATGGGGTCATGGGGCATGGTGACACGCGGTCATCCACGTTTGGCTACGAAAAAGCGTCAGGAGCACGGGGAAAGGACCAAATCGTCAGGCTGGTTCTAGACTCACTGAAGTAATCAAGGAAATGGACAATGGCCGTTGGGAAGACCATTTTCCTGCACAAACCGGGGGTGAACTCCATTTCCGTTTTAGTGAGTCGGGGTGTTAGAAGAAAAACGCAGAACACATCCGTAGCATGGCCGAAAAAAGTCCTCATTCCTCTCCAAGCCCTCGCATTGAAACTATAAAACAACATGAAACAATGCAACACGACATTCATCTCCTCACTCTGGAGATGTCCGGCAATACAGGTCTTCAAAAAAAATGGATGGTCCAGAAACGCTCTTCCCCCGTCGCACGCTCTTCCGCCCATGCCTTACGGACCTCATCAAAAACCACCCTCGACCGCACATCGGCTGGCAGCGCATCGGGTGCCCCGCCACCCACGTGGATTGTGCGCACCTCGCTACGAAACGAACGTGGGTCGTCGTTGGCCCGGCAAGTCACTAGCACATGCATGTATCTCAATCAGTGCCTCAGTGCTTAATAAGTGGCTCCTTGGGTGATGTCAGGCGCAACAGATTTTACGGGTTACTGGTGAGGGGTGTGGATAACCCTTTTCACATCTTTTGGCTTTCCTCCCAGTATTTCAAGCAAAAGTAAAATGTCCAGTAATGCACAAGGCATGGACACTTTGCCTCACTGCCTCATCTTTCATCATCTTTCTACTTTTGGTGAGATCAGCGGATCAGCGGGTCGCAGGCCATGATTAATGGGGATTGACCATCTTTAGCGGAAACTCACGGCGGAGCAGTTTGTTGAGTTTCTGCCATTGGTGCGTGCGGCCATCTACTAGCTCAGCTTTGGGCTCGATCTCGACAAAAATCGAGGATTGCATCGCGCTCCTGGCCACTGGCCACCAAACCACTCAAACCAACAGTCGATCTGATCCCCGGACCTGAAAAGAAATCAGGACCCCCCCTGGACCTTGTTGAGTTCCTAGTCGCATATTTCTCCACTAGTCGCATGAAGCCCCGAATGACTAGTGGAGTGAAGCTTCTGTTCCCCTGTGACTGTTGAGGGCCAGTCTGACTCCATTCAAACTCCGCTCTTGGGGACCAACAGGTGGAGTTGGCATCAGATGTATCAGCTACTCATCATTCAGCCCCACAAGTGCTGAACTGTGAACTCCTGAGTGCTGAACTGTGAACTCCTGAGTGCTGAACTGGATGTTATTATAGGGACTCTTCCGGACCGGCCGCACTCCCTCTCGGCCCCTCGGCCCGGCCGACCGTCCTGGTGGTAGGTCACCAGCCTCCGGCGAATCCTGGGATGGCCGACATGTCGGAGGACACCGAACAACGTTGGACTCTGCCTGGCATGATCTGCCCGCGGGCGTACATCAACAAAAAGGTTGGCCTGCTAGTCGGGTTATTTGATGGAAGAACACACTGAAATCTTGTCTGTAGTTCGATGAAAGCAACCAAAACACCTAAAACACCCTAGAAGAAGACCGATAAACATCTTTTACAGAAACCGCGTTTCCAAGGAATCTTCTTCTGCGGGTTCAATTTAAGGGTCCATCTTAGTTGTTGGGAGGGTAGTAGCTTTGCTCTTTGTTGGGGACCTCGTTACCCAAGCTGATCCAAGCTGTACGTTTTCAGGGCTGTGCGTTTTGCAACCTTCAGGCCTGCAGTTCACGAACAGCGCGCTTAGGAGGCCTGGACCCTCCCGTCCTGATGAATCCACTGGTCTTTTGGAGATTTTTGGACCAAGGCTCTTTTCAGGCGTGTCATCTTCTCTTTGGATCACTCGCCCCATGATTTCTGCTGGCGGTGGGTTGTCCTGCGCTTCGTTTCGCCGGGATCGTCGGGAAGGAGCTGGTCCATGACCGTGTCGTGTCAGGATGAAGAACCAAACACCGATTTGGCAAGTCCCAATGGACCATGTGCTAGTGGACCATGTGCTTAGAATGTATGTGTAAGCTTAGCCAAAAACACGCAGTGATAAGTGAGATAGAGCTCCATTGACTGATGCGACGCGTATCGACATGCGGCCTCCCAATGCATCCGAACAGTGCATCATCATTTCGGGAGAAGCAAATCAAAAGAGAAGCAAATGTCCACGGATGACGGATTCCCCTCTTTGGATCATTGTTTAGCCCCAGCCATCCAAACTGCTAGACCCGCCAGCACCTTCACGTGGTAGATCTTCCCACTCAAAGGGTCGATACGGCGCCCAGCAATGCGATTGATGACCACGTCGTCGGCGACCTCGTCACCCGCCCGGGCAAAGAGTGGCCCATGTGGCGACGCCCTTTGTTCCGTTCGTAGCGTCCGATCGCTCCTAGTAAGGCCAGGAGCCCCGTTCGTAGCTTCTTGTTACTGGTAGCGCCAGGAGCCCCGTTCGTAGCGTCCTTGCTCCTGGAATCTCATGTGGATGTCCAGCTTTTGGGGCCATGAGGGGCCATGCAGGTGTGTCACTTATAGCAGTGGTGTGTCACTTATAGCACTGCTGTTGAACCGTTCTCACGTTGCAACGGTGACCCAAACGTTGGATGCTGAGGCCTGTCTTTTGATCAACCAACACTTGGACTGGCCGCGCCCGAAATCTGGCTCCTGGAATGGGTCATGAGGACTCACTGGGTTGGGAAGGTTCGATTTGATGTTGCCAGTGCCGTGTTCAGTGATCTCTTGTGGCCTGAATTGGTGGAATCCTCCTTGGACAATAGCTGGCCGCAAAGGAAGCATATTTCAGGTACCTCCTTGAGATTCTAGTCATATGATAAGTCAAAATATATATATATATATATGTCCATGAAGCTTCATGACTCATGATTCTATAGATGCCGCCCCCGCAAACAACTCCAAATTTGCACCGCCTGCACTTCCTAGGGCTCTCAACCTCACCATCCTGGACCATCCTTCTATTCACCGAAGACAAATCACCTCAAGATGCCCACTCCAGCCTGCCCACTCCAGGCCTCCCAACCATGCTTTACTCCATAGGGATCAAAACCCAAAAAGTAAACCCACATTAAACCCGCACCACTACCCACACCTTTTTCCCCAGGTCTCGGTTGCCCCTGGTGCTCACACCCAAAGGCGCCGCCGAGCCCCGGCGCCTCCAAATGGATCACCGCGGAGATCTCCACGCCCGCGAGCCGAAGCGCCTCGGCCTGGGAAGGTGAGGCTTTGGAGAGGGCCTGATCGGGTCCAGGAGCATCTATCAACGATCAGCAACGGATGATCTCGGAACTTATACACTCTCGAAAACTCACATGTCATGGACCCTCACTAACATGGTCCCCTGGAAGATGGTTTTCCTCTACCAACCAGTGATTTTGGGGTTCCATGTTAATCTTCAGGGGAGTATCTAGTGAACTATGTAAACTTTGGGAAGTCACTTGCTGACCATATCATATCGCAACGAGTGGCAATTCCAAGAAACACAGCACTTTGCATGATATCATTTAAGTTTGCTGATGCCGGTGGTTGCATCCAGCAAATTACAGCAAATGATCGATATCCTTACCGCTCATTCCATGCCGAAAAACGAACCGGAGGGGCTCAACCACACGGCCTCTACCGGTCAACCACGCAGACTCGCCCGATCCGGCCGACTCGCGCCGCCTGTGTGCGGGTCCGTGGAAATCCGTCCAAAAGAACACCACGTGAGAAGCAGTCATGCTCCGCCAGGCGTTCCTCAAGACAACCGAGAATCCATGAGAATCCCATGGTGTTTTCCAACGGCACTCCGATCTCAGAAATCCAATGCGATGTTGCGTTGAACACTTGGCCGCAGCCTTAATGGTCATTCTACATTTTTGTTATGATTGTTCAATTTGGCTGGACTCGGGTGCACCTTAGCAAAAGCCGGAAATTATGCAGCAGGCATACCCTGTTCGGCATACATCAAGTACATGCCAGGGTGGCTAGCTGATGATAGGAAGTCAAACCTGCCAGTCGACCCAACTATGCAAACTCTATGGCACCGCGGCTGGTTTATCAATTGTGAACACTTTGATGTTGGTTGCTTAGCAGGGGAAAGTTGATGAAAGATTCCAAGACTCCAAGTCTCATTTTTTGACCTCGACCCCACACTTCTCACTGGTGGCTGGTGAACTGGTCGGCTCATGTTTGGACTTCACCCAAAAAAAGTCGTAGCCAGCTGTGGAATTTCACCTTGCTTTTCTGAAGACTTGACTTTCGCAAGAAAATCTACTTGGACCATCAAGGACACAGCTTTTCATCTCTGGGCCAAAGCCAGTTCACAGCTAAGTTCTTCACCAAGTTGACATCGTTCCACCATGTACCACTGTACCACCTTCTTCCTTTCTAATATCCTGACAGCTGGGACTAGCCGCCTTCAGCACCGAGACCACGGTATCATCCGGCACCTTGAAGCCCCCATGTCGTGAGTTATCCAATGCTCCATGTTTGGCACATTCTGCATCATATACTGCCATTTGGATTGGGCTGAGTGATCAAAAAGCTCCATGTAGATCGATGTATAGGTACCATCACGACTTTTTTGGATGCCTTTGGGGGGATAGGCAAACATGACCAGCTCTGCCAGCCAGGTGTGCTTGGATGGATTGATGAGAAACAACTGTCAAGTTGGGACTGGTGGTGTGATGCAACATGTCTACCGTTATGGGGGGGACCACCACCAAGGCTGGTGAATGCTTGTGATGCAGCTCTGGGAATGGAATAGCTCCCTGAAGCTGTCAATCTCAAGAGCTGCGAAGTGCTGGAGTCACCCCATCGCAAGGTCACTTCCAAAGCGTTATGATTCAACAACTACTGAAAACACATGAAAGCACAGGGGCTCAAGTGACTCAAATGCCTATATCCATGCTCAAATACTGACGAACATGTGGCCTCGGTTGTGCACGCTCATGATGCATGGTGCATGGCTCACATCTGCGTAGCTCAAATCAAAAGCCTAGGGCCTAGCAAAGTGATCAAAATGACGGCCTTCTCTGCGATCCTGTAATCTGGGTCCCCCAGCCAAACGTCCCTCTGAAATCTCTTGGGCCAGCTGTGGCAAGAACTTGGCACGCGCACGCAGGAGGTCCCCCATTGAGATGTGGATGAGGCCTCAGGACGAACGCGGGTGTGGCAAATGAAGGCGATCAAGCAGCTGCTGAGCTGCTTGACCAGCCGCTTAAATCCGCTGGGCGATTCAAATGAAACCCCATCAGGATGTCTTCAGGAACCTGTAGCTCACAAAGTCGCACATTTCTGAGGCGTCGAATTTCATTGAAGCCAGGCACAGTGCGGTCACAAATAGATCTGGAAACAGTATTTAAAGAAAAACATTAAAACAAAAACACTTGGGATGGGTCAATCACCTCAACCGGCACTTGTTCTCTTCTGAGTTTCTCCACCAAACCGTGGCCACGTCCCTCCATGTCGGTCCATGCTGAGTGTTCCGGGCCATAACGATCCGCCAAATAGCCGGCCTGCGTGCCTTTTCCGCCTGCAGGCGCAGCGGAGAAAGAGCACGGCGAGAAGCGGCGAGCGGCGCTCCGACGCTGCTTCACTCGCCTGCAGGTGGACCAAGCAGAACAATATTCACCTGATAGCTGGCGCAACGGCAAAGAGGGGGGCTGTGTACGCACACTCATGTGCAAGCCATTTCTGGTGGGGAGAGAAAAGAGCAATACGATGCAACGCTGTTCATTCACCGTACTCACTGCACTCTACACAAATAGAGCTGCCCTGCCCAACGCTACATGCAGTTCTGCAATTGCCACCAAATGGCTGGAGGGCCGCCAGGGCGGAGAATTGGCACCTTAAAGCCTCAGAGCTGCGGCCGGGGCCCTGGCTCCCCATCTTCCAAAAACATCCACCAACTCATTGAGTCTAGAGCCGGCCAAAAGACCCCATGAGGTACACTCAATGACTGTGATCGCCTACACCCCAGTCGTGGGAGACCATAAACTGGCGCAAGTGCCCCAAACCCACCAAACTCACAAAGCTCCGGCCGCCCACTGGGCCGAAGTCTGCGCAAAACGGCATCTCAGCACCAAGCTCATGAAGGACGCCGCATGGCTCCGAAGCAGCATCGGATTCCGGATGGAGCTTTTTGGCTCTCTGAGGTTCGCTTGTTTTGTTCTGGGTCAATCAAACATCTCAATACAGAATTAGCTGCACCCTGTCAACTTGCAGCGGACTCTGCTCTAGCGCAATGAGAGGACGAAGCCAACATGTAACATGGTCATGGAGTCATAGACCCTGGGGTTTGATACATAGTTGAAGGTTGTGTGGACGTCATGACAAGTATATTGGCAAATGACCTTCTTAGGAACCTAACTCCCTCCCATCTGAGGAGGTCGGATCCCCAAGCTCTGCTCCCCTTTTCTCCCTCTCTCTCTCTCTCTGCAGGGCATCATGCTGTTTCATCGATGTTGCCCCGACTCATGGCTCCCTCTTCCATAGAAACACGTTTTGTCCCAGTCAACTCGCACCTTTATGGTCATATGATTGTATAACGTTGCATACCTGGACCTTCAAGGGGTGTCCAATGGAGGTCCCTTAGTAGTGTAGGGGCTTCCATTGGTGACCCCTTTGAAGGTGCTGGTAACAATTGCATATTATGGTATGTAACATGCAGGTTAAATTACGTTTGAGCGGAGTGATGAAGGCTTGCCACATTCCGCACAACCATCACAGACCCACCAAGAGAATCCACCATTTGCAGCGATTTACTTGTGGGGGCCAGGTGGTACTGGTACAGCAGTTCTGCCAGCTTTTCACTAGCCCAAGTCAAGTTGCTTCAGCGATTGAGCCGGGATCTGCGGGCATTTTGAGCTTCAAGTCAAGTGTGCTCACTGCTCACTTTGTTTTTGTCTCGGATTCCCCAACAACCAGCTTCTGATACATGGTGCTCCTCCCAACAACTTCTCTTGAAGGGGAACTCAATACAATTTGTATGAAGCGGCGTGAAGCGGCGTAAATTTGGTCTGCTGAGGATCCTCAAGAGCAAAAGCGCAGCAACAGCGGCGTTCAGTGCTAGAGGCTGCTAGTGGTCTTGTGATCTTCGTTCCATGCTATGCACCTCCGCCGGCCTCCTCCCATCCTCCACGGAGCCAAACCATGACATGTCTGACCAACTCCCCTCATCAAGACCTGCCCTCACCCCATCGAAAACCTTGTTTTGCGAGGCCAGTGAGGTGGCCATCCATGGCGTTCCGCTCGTGGCCATCCATGGCTTCCCCACCTTCAGCTCCTCCAGGGTCCCGACTCTGCCGGCTGAGGCGGTCGATCTCCTTCCCTTGGGATTTGCTGAGCACCTCGAGGCCTGCAGGTGGAGAGCAATTCGGCAGGTGGATGGAACAGTTGAGGGTTGGAAACGTGTTGGTCATGTGTTGCTCCTTTTTTAGTGTAGAAGTGTAGATTCTCCTCAAGAACTCATTACTCAGGCTGATCTCCAGCTGGATATGGATAGGGCTGAAAGGTGGTCCTGCAGCCCTTCCATGCCTCTCCTGCTTTTCCTCACACCATGAGACGAACATCGCTGTTCCACGTGGAACGGACGACGCTGGGGGCCCCAGGCGCTTCTTCTCCGCCTTCAGCTCTAGGAGGTGAGCCTCTGACAAGGCCTCAGCGTGAAGCATCTGACACTTCTAGAGTCCAAAGGTGAAAAACGATATGTAGTGGTCCCCCAAATAGATGGCACACGGCTTCCAATAGATGTTTAAAGGGATTTTACCTTTCTATCTATTTGGGGCCAATGCATACACTCCCTTTGAGTAAACAAATCGTTCACGGTCCGACAGCTCTACAGCTGTCTGTCGAGCCCCCTTTGAGGTTCTGACAGCCTTGGCTAGTGCTTCTTGCAACTGCGTCTGGAGCTGGCTTTGCTCCTGAACCTCTCCGAGCTGAGGGGGAGGACATTGACAGTGGGAGAACAAATTAATGTAGGACTAGATGATACTAGATGTCACGCAAAGTGTTGTGCGCTGAAACTATCAAGAATCTAGACTCTGTTGGGGCTACCCAAAAATGTGGCCGGTCTTTCTTTCGGATGTTCCCATGGGGCATGTGTAGCTCAAGGGGCCCAAGCTGGCCCTATGATGTCCCGAGGCTTCTAGCGAGCTGATCTCCGCCCCTCACCTGCTGCTCTTTGGCTAGCGCATTTTGACCTTGGTGAAAACGTGGACGTAATCATGGAACTGTTGATGTAGGCTGAAGCGACTCAAGCTCATTCAGATCTTTGAAGATCCTTCAGCTGAACTGTAGCGTTCGACTCTCGAGCCGCATCCCCTCTCTCTCTCATTCAATGGCAGGGTGGTGATTTTCACCGCCAAATGGTGTACCTCGATCTACACACTCTTCTGGCAAACATTCTCGGGTTCTGAAGCTTCATGACTGGCTTTCGTGATGCTCCGTTTCACCGTGGCTCCTGCATCGATGGCTTTGGCAGGCTTTCGCCACTGAGTGCCCCACGCATACCGACCTGACCGGTCCGAAAGAGATCGGTGTGGAAAAGGTGAGTGGTTCAGCTGAGGCAAGTGGGTGCAATGTGGGGTGCATGCTTCATCCAAAGTCGCAGCATGAAGGATTTTCCTGAGTTTGAACCTCTTGGTGTTGCATTGTCAGGGGAATTATGACACATATCCCTACATGTGCGAGCCAAACATGCAATATTTAAAGTGCAACTACTAGGCAACCACCAATGATAGCCCCAAAAGATCCATGAACGCATCCTCATTGCCAATGAATCTTGAGTTTCGCTATATCATTGAAATTGCGCCGTTAGCTGCTGGGACTCCCTTTTCTGCTCATGGCTTCCTCCTGGGCCGGTGTTGAGTGTTTCTTTGTGGCCACGATGCCCCCAGATCTGGAGATCCCTTCATCTCTATGTCCAGCTCATGTCGCGGCTTGTTCAGCTCATCGCGCGAAGCTGAGCATGGAACTTCAACGTGCTTCTTCACCTCGTCCAAAGCCGAGAGCACCAAGGTCACATGTGCCTGACGAAGTCGGGAGACGACCGAGACGACCCAGACTACCCGGGTCTGCCACTCAAAAAGACATGAGAAAACCATTGGTCCTGTATTGTCCTGTGGAAGGCTTCATAACAATTACAAGAGAAACATGGAGAAACCATTGGTGTTTGCATTTGACCCTCCAAGGAGGGATTGTCACAACATCTTTTAAGGTCTGACAGCTTGGGCGTGACAATCCCGTTGTTTTTTCTCTGAGTCCAAGTCCAGTGGTCTTTGGGATCAATATGGATCAATACATGGTTCTGGGATGCTGTAAAAAGAACAAGTAGTAAACGGGCAATTGCCGGGCAGAAATTGAACCCGGGATCACCCATGGGACTAACATAATAAAACTTTTCGGAAGCTCTGGGCACCGCAAAGCACATGCAGCGCTGCACATTTGTTTGCTTCCCATCAACATGAAACCAATGAAACCTGAAGAAATCTACCAACACAGGTTAAGTGACCTGAAAAAGAAACCTACCGGGGTACCTGTGGGATAGTCTTTTTGAGGTTCTTCAACCTGAGCAAATCTACCTTGGATGGCGCAGCCTGATAAAGTGCAGGGTATGCTGCTCCCAAAGCTGATCGGAACATGGAGGGAGGGACTGTTTGTTGGGCGCTGCAAGTTGCAATTCTTTGAATACATTCCCCAGGCTGTGGGTTTTTTAGCCAGCTCAGGCACTGCTGGGGCCAGCCGAAAATCCTTAGAAAGTCGTGTCGCGGTATATGAAGATGCGGAAGGGGAACATGGTTTGTAAAGAACAATTACCGTAAATCTTCCTCTACAGGCTGGCTTGGTTCCGCTCTTGCTCACACATGTGTGGATTGGAGACTGGAGCCTGAAGCTCCCTGAAAACCTCGGAGGCACCCGGAGAGGCAGCATCCTGGATAACCTGGGACGAGAGGCTGAGAGGCACTATGTAGCACCCATCCTGCTAAAGTCAAGCAATGGATGACACATGTCAACCTGATGGGTGGATTCCTTCTTTGGATTTTTTTACTTTAGACTTTTTCTTTTGGCTGTGGATACCTCTATAGTCGGCCACCTATACGCGGGCTGCATCTGCACGCCCAGCTGGACGTGTCGGGCACTTTTCGACTCTTGCTTGCGAGCACGATACGCATGGGGTTGGGTGCAAGTGCATACCTGTATACGCCGGCTGAGGTGTGGGAGTTGATCGCGGCGAATGGCATGGAGTGATGCCATTTGTACAAAAGTATCAACAGTTCAGGGTGGCCACGATGAGGTCCACTCTCAGTTGGAGGCCATCAATGGTCAGCAGAATGAATCGGCTGCCACCGGAGAAGTGGCTCTTCAGGCTCCAAGATGGGTTCCTTCGTGCCTGAGCTGCAGAGAAGCCCTTCCAAGACTCCAAAAAAGACTCGCACAAAACACACTTAAATACCTTGGCCCGTTTGGCCCTCAAGAGGACAAAAACCTTCCCCTCACCCCGCGCAATCCTCCAATCTGCAGCGGAACCACTCGAACACCACTTGCTTCTGCATGCGCGCGAACCGCGACACTCTGCACTTGAGCGAACAGCGCGCCGGCGAGCTTGGCGCGTCTCAGTGAGCTGCTTGGGCCCTGAAGCCTAGATCTTGCAGGGCCTTCTCCAAGGCCTCTAAGGACTCTGGAAAGCTCTTCAGCCCGAGGCCGAAGCGTACACAAGGGCAATGGAATTCGAAGAGATCGCTGACGATCATGCAAACACCATACTCGGACCTGAGTCCAAAATCACCCTCGACTCATAGAGATTGGCACATGTACATATCCTTAGACTTATTGTATTGTTCTCTAAAGTTCTCAAGGGCTCACTCATCTTCACTCAAGTTCACTCGTGTCACCTTGTCTAAAATGCTAATGCAACCCCTATTCCACGTCTTCGTCACCGTTTCGGAATGAGGACCTGTCTGGCAAAGTTTCACCCCAAAACCCATCTTCACCGGGCCAATCAGAAAGGACATCATGCTTGCACCGATGTTTCGTTTGGCCCTGTCGTGGGTCGTGGTCCAAGATCACCAACTTGGCTTACTCTCACAGTGAACTCAGATTGCACATGACACAAGCTGTTTGAACATTGCTTGAGAGTCTTTGCCATCTCCTCTAACATGACAACTGTTTGTCTAAGGTTGGATACTATATATAGTGACAAAGCCCCAGATAGAATATGCGAAAATAATTAGCATGCAAATATACGATTTTCAGCCTCTCAAAAAGCAATTCTTGAATCACTAACACCGGTGCACATAAATTATATTAAGTGTTGTTCATAATGTGTATATACCCTCCAAGTCGATGACCTCGTAAAACTTGTCCATCTCAATATGAAGACATTGAACACTATTAACTTTACGTTGAACACCTTTTACTTGACCCCATCAAAACCTGAATTGTGTTCATTGTCTCCTGAGAGGTGGATTTAGTTAAATATGTAAGGAAACCTGCTCCTTTTTGGTGGGTATTTTGGATGGCAAGCGGCTAAGCCAAGAGCCGCAGTAGGATGTCTTCTAGGAACCAAGAGGTTATGTCTGGATGGCAAGCGGCTAAGCCAAGAACCGCAGTAGGATTTCAGCTAGGAACCATTAAGGGTTGCTTCTGGATGGCTAGCGGCTAAGCCAAGAACCGCAGTAGGATCACCTCTAGGAACCACTGGGGTCATCTGCAGTTGGAGGCTCGTTGTTTGTATTATTTTACAGCAAATTTTTGTAGGCGACCCAATTTGAGGCTTCAACATAGATGACATGGGTCCTTGACCTCATAAAGTACTGGTTTTGAATACTGGATCCAGTCACATTAGGCCCTTCACCTGTAGGGCATGAACACACATGTGCGTGCATTCATGCCTCACTTCCTTCCTCGTGCATTGGGATGCGGCGAGCAATAGCTCATCACCGGAAAGCCTGGGAGCCTATCGTCGAAGATGAAGGTGCACATGCCATGTTTAATCTGGGATGGACACTGGGATGGACAAGCAGTGGGGGCAGGGTGTTTGATGGCAAGCGGCTAAGCCAAGAACCGCGATGGGATGATGAATTGAATTTTTTTGAATGGAATTGGAGAGGAAACTGGTGGTTGTTTGGTTGGAAATCTGGATGGCAAGCGGCCAAGCCAAGAAGCGCAGCTAGGAACCAAGAAGTTGCAGTTATGGCCAGCGGCCAAGCCAAGAACCGCAGTAGGATTGTCACTAGGAAATATAACCTGCTGGATGGCGAGCGGCTAAGCCAAGAACCGCAGTAGGAAGGAAATTTTTGGTGTTTCTGAGCAGAACCACATACATGAGCCGATCTTGATGTTGCCATTTGGCTGGATGAGCTGGATGAGGGAGCACCATTGCAAGGCAACAGTGTTTCTGCACGATCATCCCTAGGACTCGACTGGGGCGGGGGTCACGTCTGGTTTCGAAGCCATGCCGGATTCGAAGCCACGGGAGCTGCTCGTCCAGGTGCTGAAGGCGAGGCCATTTGGAAACTGACATGAGGGACCGTCAAAACTCCTGATTCTTCTTCAACTAAAAAATGGACGCTATCGGTTTTGAGTTGGACCTTCTCCATTTGCAGGGTTGTGAGCACAAACCTACCCCTCTTTCAAAAAGTGGTCTTTGCATGTTTTGACTGTGGCTCACATGATGTTGGAGCTGCATAGAGGAACCACGACCACTGACTAGATCTTTGGAGTTGGACTTGTGTGCTCACATGGAGAACACCCCTGAGCCTGGCTAGGACTTCTATGATCAACGGCTGGTGGATGAGGGCAGGGAGATTCGCATGGAGGATTTGGCCAAGAAGATGGGAATGCCAGCAACTTGACATGGGATATAGGTAAGTACCTAGAGTCCTAATGGTGACTTTAAGTGGAGTTGGCCACACAAGGACCAGATACTACTATCACTGGCCTTTGGATGAGATCATAGCGGAAACTGTACAGAGATCAGCCAAGGAGAAGAAGTTTCAGAAGATGATGAAAAAGGGTGTTGCATCTTGACAGCACACTTGGAGCATCTCTGGATGTTTGTCAGCAACCAAAGGGTGGTTGCATGGCAACTTTTGCCCTTGAGCCACCTCGATTAAATTCCTCAGATTACAGTTCCATCCTAGATATCTTAATATTATTAATGGACAAGTTTTACGAGGTCATCGACTTGGAGGGATATATATATATATAAGAAAAAACTTAATGGAGCCACACCTGCGTGTCGAAGTCGGTTCCCCTCGCCGCACCGAACAGCAACCCCCACTGCGACCCTCGGTTTGCCCACGGTCCGTCATGTTCACTCATCGTCCACCATGTCCGAGGAGAATGGATGTTGGGCACGAAATCACCCAGGGTGGATTGAGTGTGGATCTTTCACTCTTCAAGGGGTATTTCCAAAAAAAGCTGCCCTCATCCATCCACCAGCAGTGACACCTGGTTTTGACCCAGCCAAGTGGGTTGTCCTGACCAAACAGGGTGCCCCTTCCAACAGGAAACATTTTTTGACCTTGATCTTTTGGGTTTTCACCCCTAGGTCTTCTGAGTTGTTTAGGGCACCCTGTTCACTGCGGTTCTTGGCTTAGCCGCTTGCCATCCCACCAGCCACCCTTTCTGTGGCCACCGGAACCGAATTCTTTGCTTTCGCCTGGCAATGCTTGGCAATGGCACTGAGATTAATGAGGGTCAACCCGTATGGATCTGGTCATATCTTCTTTACTCTGGTCTTTTGGGAGTATGGTTCCACTGAGTATCCATAGGAGCTGGTATCCAGGTTCCCGTGGAGTTCAGCTTTGTGGATGCGGAGAAGGGCCTGGATGCGAAAACATTCAAGAAGGACACCAACTTCCTCTTCTGCAGAGACTGGATTTGTGTCTTTGGACACCGGAGAGTGATCAAAGGAGACCCAGGCCAGCTCATGGGTTCTGGATGGTTCTGGATTTGGGATTTTTTGGATATCGGCCAGCACTTGGTCTAAGTAGACCATTATTGAATTCCATGCACTGATATCCTCAGTTGAATGAATCAGGCCACTTTTGGTGGGACACTCTTGTGGAAAACTCTGGTCCACTCCTGTAGGTCTGGCACGCTTCTATGACACTCTTGTGGAAAACTCTGGTCCACTCTTGTAGGACACCCTTTTGGGACACTCGAAAACTCTGGTCCACTCCTGTAGGACACTCTTATCGGACACCCTTCTATGACACTGTTGTGGAAAACTCTGGTCCACTCCTGTAGGGCACTTTTGTCTGACACACTTCTATG